AACTACACAACTACATGGAAACTAAATAACCTGTTCCTGAATGACTACTGGATAAATAATGAAATGAAGGCAGAAATAAAGATGTTCTTCAAAACCAATGAGAATAAAGACACAATGTACCAGAATCTCTGGGACACATTTAAAGCAGTGTCCAGAGGGAAATTTATAGCACTAAATGTCCACTACAGAAGCAAGGAAAGATATAAAATCAACACCCTAACATTACAATTAAAAGAACTAGAGGAGCAATATCAAACAAATTCAAAAGCTAGCAGAAGCAAGAAATAACTGAGATCAAAGCAGAAATGAAGGAGACAGAGACACAAAAAAACCCTTCAAAAAATCAACAAATCCAGGAGATGGTTTTTTGAAAAGATCAACAAAATAGATAGACTGCTAGTTGGACTAATAAAAAAGAAAAGAGAGAAGATTCAAATAGATGCAATAAAAAGTGATAAAGGGGATATCACCATAAATCCCACAGAAATACAAACTACCATCAGAGATTACTACAAACACATCTATGCAAATAAACCTGTAAATCTAGAAGAAGCAGACAAATTCGTGGACACTTACACCCTCCCAAGGCTAAACCAGGAAGAAGTTGAATTCCTGAACAGACCACTAACAAGGTCTGAAGTTGAGGCAGCAATTAATAGCCTATCAACCAAAAAAAGTCCAGGACCAGATGGGTTCACAGCTGAATTTTACCAGAGGTACAAAGAGGAGCTGGTACATTCCTTCTGAAACTATTCAAAACAATACAAAAAGAGGGAATCCTCCCTAACTCATTTAATAAGACCAATGTCATCCTGGTACCAAAACCTGGCAGACACGCAACCAAAAAAACAAAAATTCAGGCCAATATCCGTGATGAAGATTGATGCAAAAATCTTCAATAAAATACTGGCAAACAAAATCCAACAGCACATCAAAAAGCTTATCCACCACGATTAAGTCAGCTTCATCCCAGGGATGCAAGGCTGGTTCAACATCCGCAAATCTATAAACGTAATCCATCACATAATCAGAACCAAAGACAAAAACCACATGATTACTCAATAGATGCAGTGAAGGCCTTAGACAAAATTCAACAGCCCTTTATGCTAAAACTCTCAATAAACTAGGTATTGATGGAACATACCTCAAAATAATCAGAGCTATTTATGACAAACCCACAGCCAATGTCATACTGAATGGGCAAAAACTGGAAGCATTCCCTTTGAAAGCTGGCATAAGACAAGGATGCCCTCTCTCACCACTCCTATTCAACATAGTATTGGAAGTTCTGGCTAGTGCCATTAGGCAAGAGAAAGAAATAAAGCGTACTCCAATAGGAAGAGAGGATGTCAAATTGTCCCTTTTTGTGGATAACATTATTGTATATTTAGAAAACCCCATCTTCTCAATCCCTTAAGTTGATAAACAACTTCAGCAAAGTCCCAGGATACAAAATCAATGTGCAAAAATCACAAGCATTCCTATACACCAATGATAGACAAAAAGAGCCAAATCATGAGTGAACTCCCATTCACAATTGCTGCAAAGAGAATAAAATATCTAGGAATACAACTAACAAGGGATGTGAAGGACCTCTTCAAGGAGAACTACAAACCACTGCTCAAGGAAATAGGAGAGGACACAAATAAATGGAAAAACATTCCATGCTCATGGTTAGGAAGAATCAATATTGTGAAAATGGTCATACTGCCGAAAGTAATTAGTAGAGTCAATGTTATCCCCATCAAGCTACTAATGACTTTCTTCACAGAATTGGAAAAAGCACCACTTTAAACTTCATATGAAACCAAAAAAGAGCTTGCATAACCAAAACAATCCTAAGAAAAAAAAAAAAAAAGCTGGAGTCATCACACTACCTGACTTCAAACTATATTACAAGGCTACTGTAATCAAAACAGCATGGTACTGGTACCAAAACAGAGACATAGACCAATGGAACAGAACAGAGGCCTCAGAAAGAATGCCACACAATGACAACCATCTTATCTTTGACACACCTGACAAAAAGAAGCAATGGGGAAAGGATTCCCTATTTAATAAATGGTGTTAGGAAAACTGGCTAGCCATATGCAGAAAGCTGAAACTGGATCCCTTCCTTACACCTTATACAAAAATTAGCTCTAGATGGATTACAGATTTAAACATGAGGCCTAATGCCATAAACGCTCACAGGCAAGGACTTTATGACTAAAACACCAAAAGCAATGGCAACAGAAAGCAAAATAGACAAATGGGATCTAATTAAACTTAAGAGCTTCTGTACAGCAAAAGAAACTATCAATAGAGTGAACCAGCAACCAACAGAATGGGAAAAAAATTTTGTAATTCAAACTGACACAAGAACAGAAAACCAAACACCGCATGTTCTCACTCATAGGCGGGTGTTGAACAATGAGAACACAATGGCACAGGGAGGACAACATCATACATTGGGGTATGTTGGGGATGGGGGTCAAGGGGAGTGACAGCAGGGAGCAGGGATATTGGGGAGGGATAGCAGTGGGAGAAATGCCTGATGTAGGTGACAGGGGTGGGGATGGAGACAGCAAACCAATATGGCATGTGTGCACCTATGCAACAATCCTGCAAGATCTGCACATGTACCCCAGAACTTAAAGTACAATAAAAAATTTTTTTTTCAATCTACCCATCTGACAAGGGCTACATTCAAAATCTATAGAAAACTTAAACAAATTTACAAGTAAAAACAGCCCCATCAAAAAGTGGACAAAGGATATGAACAGACACTTTTCAAAAGAAGACATGTATACAGCCAACAAACATATGAAAAAAAGCTCATCACTGGTCATTACAGAAATGCAAATCAAAACCACATTGAGATATCACCTTACGCAAGTTAGAATGGTGATCATTTAAAAATCAGGAGACAACAGAAGCTGGAGAGGATGTGGAGAAATAGGAACGTTTTTATACTGTTGGTGGGAGTGTAAATTAATTCAACTTTTGTGGAAGACAGTGTGGCGATTCCTCAAGGATCTAGAACTAGAAATACCATTTGACCCAGCAATCCCATTACTGGGTATATACCCAAAGGATTATAAATCATTCTATTATAAAGACACATGCACGCGTATTTTATTGTGGCACTGTTCACGATAGCAAAAACTTGGAACCAATCCAAATGCCCATCAATAATAGGCTGGATAAAGAAAATGTGGCACATATACAGCATGTAATACTATGCAGCCATAAAAAAGGATGAATTCATGTCCTTTGCAGGGACATGGATGAAACTGGAAACCATTTTTAGCAAACTGACACAAGAACAGAAAACGAAACACCACATGTTCTCACTCATAAGTGAGAGTTGAACAATGAGAACACACTGACACAAGGAGGGGAACATCACACAGTGGGGCCTGGGGGGTGGAGGGCTAGGGGAGGAATAGCAGGGGGTGAGGGGATTAGGGAGGGATAGCATTAGGAGAAACACCTAATGTAGATGATGGGGCGATGGATGGAGCAAACCACTACCATGGCACGCATATACCTATGTAGTAAACCTGCACAAACTGCACATGTATCCCAAAACTTAAAGTATAATAAATTTAAAAAAAAAGAATTCTGTTATTTTAGCACCATTTGTTAAAACACTATACTTTCCATATTGAATTATCTCGACATCTTTGTCAAAAATTAATTAACAACATATGTATCAGTCTATTTCTGGACTCCCTATTCCGTTCTATTGATCCACAGGTCTGTGTTAACTACTACATTAACTGTATTATTACAATTTAAGTCTTGAAATAATATAACGTAACTCTCAAGATTTGTAGGATTTTTGTTTTTCTTTTCCTTTCTTTTTGAGTCTGAGTCTCGCTCTGTCACCATGCTGGGGTGCAGTAGCGTGATCTTGGCTCACTACAATGTCCGCCTCCTGGGATCAAGTGATTCTCCTGCCTCAGCCTCCCAAGTAGCTGGGACTACAGGCGCGGGCCACTAGGCCCAGCTAATTTTTGTATTTTTAATAGAGACGGTGTTTCACCATGTTGGCCAGGATGGTCTCGATCCCTTGACCTCGTGATTCGCCCGTCTTGGCCTCCCAAAAGTGCTGGGATTACAGGCATGAGCCACCGCGCCTGGCCTAGGATATTTTTAAAAAAGTATTTGTCTATTTTAGGTCCTTTGCATTTCCAAATAAATTTATGAGTAAGTTTGTAATATTTATCTTGTATCTGCACCCTTTTTAAAATCAATTCTTATTCTTATAGCAGATTAACCATACACCTCTTTGAATTTCCTGAATTCATGATTATTTGATCTGCAAATAAAGGCGTACTTATTATCATTTGAACCAGAAATTTGTGAAAAATGTCTTTTTTTTTTCTTTTAGTTCTGAAAACCCAAGAAAGCTCTGTAGCACTACAACTCACTAGTTCATCTCAAAGAAGGTCCTCATATGTCCAGGGGCCCCTCAAAAGGGGAGTCATCAGCTGCCCTGTCCTTTTCCAAGTTCTAAAAAAGCAGCTGTCTGTAGAGTCTATATTTATATGATTTAACAGGACAGGTGGTTAGGATGTTTTCCCCAACTTTAATCCCGTTTTTCAAATAAAAATAAATTTTTTTCCTTTTTTAAGCCATATATATTTTTTTGTTTCATATGAAAAAGTACAGAAAGGTATTAAGAATGAGAAAATTCTAATCTCTTGGGCTCCTTTTCTGATATACCTCTTCCACTAGTTTTAGTGGAGGGAAAACAGAGTATTGGTAGGAGAGAGGACAGAAGGAGGTGAATCCTGGGAGCCAAGGGCAGAGAGAGGCAAGTCCCCAGAGTGGGAACGGCTAACAGCTCCCTGAGATGATATGTTCCTTCCTGGGCAGGCAGAGGAAGTCCGAAGAACACACAAAGAAGGGAGAGTGGCAAAGCCCAGGCTGCGGATGTTAAAAGGGACTCCCGGTGTGGATGGGGGCTGGCCTGAAAGCCCCGCCTGACTCGGGGCTGCAGGAGGGGGCGTGGGACGGGGGCGGAGCCGGTGGCGATGACAACAGCCCCACGTGACCTGCCAAGCGAGTCTGGTCTCGCTCTGGCGTCAGAGCCGCTGTCGCTCGCTCCCTTCTCGGCGGCGGTACCTGCTCCAGGTGTCCCTGAGGACGTGCGGGCCGGGGCGGCCCCGAAAGTAGGAAGCGGAGGGGAAGCAGGTGAGGGACCTGGAGAGGATCCCAGGGGTTGGTGTTGGGGAGCGGCCCCGGCTGAGGATGACCCACCCCGGGGGAGCCGCGCGGTGACGCAGCCGGTCCACCGTGAAGCAGACCCCGGGCCCCGCCGCCTTCCGTGAGCCGAGAGGTGCCCGGCCCCGCGGGAGCCGGCGGTCCTGAGGCTACGACCCTTCGGGAACACCTGCCTCCGCCACCTGCGCAAGCTTTTCCGACACCCCTGCCCCGCCCTTCTTGGTGCAGAAAATGGTGGTCAGCTTGGGGGGCGGGGCGGCTGAGGCGGGGGGCGAGCGCGGCGAGGAGGGCCCGGGCCCGGGACGGGGAAGGGGCTGGGTGGCGTCGGGCCGTCTCTAGCGTTCCGCTGCAGCAGCCCCCACTCCCCGCCCCCTGCCTTTCTGCAGGTCTGCAGGCCTAAGTGTCCGGCGGCGCACCTCGCGTCAAGAATCGGGAGGAGGAAGAGATCGCAAGGATAGGCACAGGTCGGTGCGAGGAACGGTAGTCGGGCGGGGGTCGGAACGTGAGGAAAGCCCAGTCTGAGACCCCAATCCATGCCTTCACCCCACACTTCTCAATCCTCCCCCTCCCCCACCCCATGCTCGTCCTCCATTTTGGTGCCTGCAGAGGCCTGGAGATGGATCTACAGGGAAGATGGTGGGCTTTGCCGGAGGGAGGGGCTTGGACTGCCCCCCCGCGAGGGCACACTGGACCTCTCTGGTGAAAAAAAAAATGAAATTTTAAAAAGGCTTTTGAAGTCCAGGGCTCTGAATTTTGAAAGGTGTGTAGTAGGGTCTCTGTCCTCGGTGCTGATCAGTTCACCAAGAATTGAGTCTCTTTTTTTCTCTCTTGTCTCCTAGGAGTAATGGAGTCCAAAGAGGAACGAGCGTTAAACAATCTCAACGTGGAAAATGTCAACCAGGAAAATGAAGAAAAAGATGAAAAGAAGCAACTTGCTAATAAAGGGGAGCCCTTGGCCCTCCCTTTGGATGCTGGTGAATACTGTGTGCCCAGAGGAAATCGTAGGCGGTTCCGCGTTAGGCAGCCCATCCTGCAGTATAGATGGGACATGATGCATAGGCTTGGAGAACCACAGGCAAGGATGAGAGAGGAGAATATGGAAAGGCTTGGGGAGGAGGTGAGACAGCTGATGGAAAAGCTGAGGGAAAAGCAGTTGAGTCATAGTCTGCGGGCTGTCAGCACTGACCCCCCTCACCATGACCATCACGATGAGTTTTGCCTTATGCCCTGAATCCTGATGATTTCCCTGAAGTTAATATGAAGACCCCTGCTTCCTAAACTTACATATTTGTGGTGTACCTTTGTTGCAAACCTTTTGATGTTACTTATTTCTTGTGGGTCTCCTGATACCAGCTTCTAACTGAATGTTGTTTCTGACCCAGTTTGTAAGTTTCTGTCAGCAGGGGAGTTTTACCTATTGCATGGAAAGATGCTCATTATATATTGTGATGTTAATAAAGCAGTTTTAAAAAGCATTCTCTGCATTCTTTTTTACTTTAAATCTTAAATATGAACATAAACAATCATGTATATATACATATATACACACACATATTTAATAAATAATGTTTATCTCTGTGGTAGAATTAAGAGGAATTTTTATTCTTGCTTATCCATCATTCCTTATTTTTCAAAATGGAACTCATATTACTTATATATGAGCACCTTATAAAAGCAATGTGAACACTTATTAAACATTTGTGACAGAATCTCAATTTCAGCTTACCTCTGGGATCTCTTTTTAGAAATGTAAGAGACATATCTCTCTGAAGATCATAATATTTATCAGTAAGATGAAGACAAGCAACCTCCCAGGGTTGTTGTATGGACCAGATGAGAGAATAACGTTGTGAACTTTCTTCCAAGTGCTTGCTGTTAGTGACATGCATGACCCAAACCTTTAGATATTTCCTTCTGTTATTAGAGGAAATTTCCAAGGTGAGGTCTTCCCTATGCTTACAAGTCCAGTGGGCCAAGGAGTAGGTACTTTCATTCCTCTGCTGCTGTGCTCTATTCTCATCTCCCCTGGGTATTATTCTGTCTGCTAGGTTTTGCTCCTACACTGGCTCCTACCACTGCAGATGTTCAGGAATACTCAAAGTGAGAAAGTCCCACCAATTTCTCTGGAATTTCCAGTAGATTGAATCTTTGCTCTACTTTACAAAAGTGTGGACAAATTCCCCCTCCCTGTTCTGTTTCATGGAAAAACATTGTCTGTCTAGCTCTTTCCTTATAGTTAGTTCTCTCCCAGGTAATCTCTTCCTCATTATAGCAGACTATGTAAGATGTGTGAGGAAACACAGCCCACTTTTAATCTGAGACAGTCCCACCTCATACCAGCTCACGTTCACCTGAAATCCATAAATGTACAGAATTTTGTTATCTATGTGGAGTTGGACATCAGGATATCATGTTAGTGATTCAATGTATACACAAATGACATCTTTATGAGAAGTCTATGGGGAGACAATTGGGGTTAAGTAACCCAGCAGAATTAGGGAAATAAAATCCCCCACAGTTTGTACTAATCAGATGAAATATACACATTTCATGTATGAAGACAGCCTTACAAACTTAAAGTTAGGATTCTAGAACAGGGGTTGGCAAACAACCCATGGGCCATCTGGCCCACTGCCTATTATTTGGCCTATAAGAATGATTTTTACATTTTTTAAAGGTTGAAAAACCTGAAAATATGACACTAAAACCATGAAATTCAAGTTTTGGTGTCCATAAATTTTTATTGGAAAAATGGCATGCTTATTAATTTACATGTTATCTATGGCTGTTTTTGTACTACAGTGGCAGAGTTGAGTAGTTGTGAAAGATAGTATAGCTTGCTTTCAGTGACTACATATTTTTTATCTGGTCCTAACAGAAAAACTTTGCCACTCCTGTTCTAGAATATAACACTGCAATAGAACTTATGGAACCAAAGGGGAAATGTGGATAGGCAGGTGAAAATGTCACATAACATCACAAACCCCAGACATCATGAATCAGATGCCTAAGTAATTTCAAAGCTTTTCTCCTCCTGCAGACACTTAAGACACAAGATAGAAGATTATAGAGAGGCTAGAGTTGAAATGGCAGGAAAATTGATGAATAGAGAGGCTTACGTCCTACCAGATTTTTATTCTTGATTGTCAATGTTAGCACCAGCTTCAGTGGAAAAAAAAAGAGGTGTTCATGAGGAAAAATTAAGTTCATGTGTAAACTGATGGCATATTCATGATAGAAGGTGAGGCATACATATGCCCAGAAAAATGCATATCTCTTCCATGTCCAGGCAGATTGAAGTTTTCCTGTCAATTTCTCAGAGAAAGTTGGGTTTAAGATTCTGCTCTATGGAGAGAGTCTTCTGCTAACCAGTTTCTCTTGGCTCTTAACAGAGTGTTTGTGCCTGAAGGGGCAGCTGAGACAGTAGCATGTGAGTAGTCACGCTCCATATAAAATACTCAAGCAACTACCAGCAACCAGCAGAAAGTGAGCAAAAGGCAGTAAAGAGCAGAGCATAGCATTCCCTCAAGAGAAGCAGCTATATCTAAGGTTCTCAATGCATTTGCCTACGTATCATTTCTATATGTAATATGGTGAGCATCATTTTCTCCTTTACTGTGGCCATTCTTCACAAAATGTGTACATAAATTCTTCCCATAAAAGCCTACAAATTCTGACAAAGAGCAGGCAGGGATATTAGAGAGTGTGCCTTGGTTGTCAAAGAAAAAGGATGTTCAAAAAGGATGTTTGAGATGTAGATATGGGTTTAGCATATCATGTACATCCAGTAAATACTTTTTGAATGAATGAATGAAAAACTGAACAAGAGAAATATAGATTTAGTGCTATTTAACAAATAATAATGAGTAATACATTTTGGATCCTTATGTATTTCTAACAAAATTGAGATAATGTAGATAGTAACTCATAACTTTCTAATAAAAGTTACTATTATTTTTTTAGTAAAAAATTCAAGTCCATGCCTCAAGGATCTAGAAATAAAAATATCATTTGACCCAACAATCCCATTACCGGGTATATATCCAAAGGATTATAAATCATTCTATTATAAAGACACATGAACATATATGTTTATTGTGGCACTGTTCACAATACTGAAGACTTGGAACCAACCCAAATGCCCGTCAATGATAGACTCAATAAAGAAAATGTGGCAGGGGTTGGTGGGGGAAAAAAAAAGAAAATGTGGCACATATACACCATGGAATACTATGCAGCCATAAAAAGGATGAGTTCATGTCCTTTGCAGGGACATAGATTAAGCTGGAAACCATCATTCTCAGCAAACTGACACAAGAACAGAAAACAAAACACCACATGTTCTCACTCATAAGTGGGAGTTGAAAAATGAGAACACATGGAGACAGGGAGGGGAACATCACACCAGGGCCTGTCAGGGGGTCGGGGGGTAGGGGAGGGATAGCAGTGGGTGGGAGGATTGGGGAGGGATAGCATTAGGAGAAATACCTAATGTAGATGAAAGGGTGATGGATGCAGCAAACCACCATGGCATGTGTATAGCTACGTAACAAACACGCACGTCTGCACTTTTACCCCCAAACTGAAAGTATAATAAATAAAATTAAAAAGAAAAAAAAATACAAAATTGCCTAGAAAATTTTTCAATAAAAATAGTCGAATCCATTGAAGGAAATGTAGAAAATAAACTCAAAGGCTATTGTATGACCAAAGAAAGTGCTGCAGTTTGAACATTCTAGTCAAGGGTAGAGCAAGAAGGGACACAGACACTGGACTCTTCCAGGAATTCCAGATAGCATGGGAAGTACACTTTGGTTAGAAGTAAAACAAAGCCTTCATGATTAACCATCATTTAAAACACTAATCCACATTTATGCTTTCAATGAAAATGGAGTAACAGGGACTGGATTTACCTCCCTAACTGAAACAGCTAAAACCTGGAAGAATATATGAAATAACACTTTTCAGTCACTGAGCATCTATCAGAGAGTGGAGGGCAAGGCTATCTGAGAGAGGGTAAATAAATAACATGAGCTTTATGATTGTCACTGACTTACTGCATATTAGGATTAAAATGTATACTTTAGCACAAAAGCCAGAAGAGGGGAAAATAATAGCACAAAGGCCAGAAGAAGGAAAATGAAAGTACACAATTTTAGGTTCTTATTCTATATATTAATATCACTTAAAGGCAGATTCTGATACATTACAGATGTGTACTATAAACCTTAAATCAACTAGTAAAAAAATTATAGCTAATAAGCTAATATATAAGGTAAAATGGAATCCTCAAAATAATCCCCAAAAGATTAAAAAAAGGAGAACAAAGAACAGGCAGAACAAATGAAAACAAATAATAAGATGGTTGACTTAAACATCAATAATCACATTAATGTAAATGGTTTAAATGCCTCAATCATAAAGCAGAGATGGTCAGCTTGAATAGAAACGAAACTCACAAAAATGTGCTGCCTATAGGAACCTTATTTTCAGTTTAAAGATACAAATTGTTTACAAGTAAAAAGATGGAAAAGATGAATAATTTTATAATGAATCAAAACAATGCTTGAATGACTATATTGATATCAGATACAATACATTTTAGAGCAAAGAATAATACAAGGAATAAAGGAGGTCATTATATAATTTTAAGTGGTATATTTATCAAGAGGACATAACAATCCTAAGCATTCTTGTATTACAGCACTTCAAAATACATGAAGTAAAAACATGTAACTGCAAGGAGAAATAGACAAATCCAGAATTACAGGGATTTCAAACCTTCTCTAAAAATTTGATAAAATGGAATATCAGCACGTATCTGTAAGTGTTGGGGTCCCTACTTTCGGGGTGTCTGTGTTGCAGGCTTTAGCAACAGATGAATAAAGTGCACTAACACACAGATATTATGTTTTGCTAGTTCACCTGAGGGCCTGTGGCTGCTTACAGGCACTTTGGAGAGTGCTATAAACAGTTGCAACTGCCGGCCTTCACTAGCCAGAGAGACTTGCATTTATTTAGTAAAGTTTAACTGACAAAGACTTGAGACAACACCACTAGAGAGAAGATTAAAGCACAAGTTCTCATGCTTAAAGCAAACACTATTAGAGGATAATATCTTTGGCCAACCTCTTTCTGAGAGGGCCATCTAGCTCAAAGGATAGTTTTAAGACTACATGAGTAAACAAGTTAGTTAGTAAACTTTTCCACATACTTTAGCTATTTTGTTTACTTATTAACTAAATGTAAGGGAGACTTAGGCTGCCTTCAGCTGAAACTTCTACTGAAATTATGAAAAACCTTTTAGGCCTTCTAAAAGGGTATATACTATAACTTTCTCTACTATTTTACCCTGAATATTTTTCATCACAACCTTGAGTGAATTCCCACATATAAGACTTGAACAACGCATAGAACTTGCCACCAATAACAGTAATATACACATTTGTTTCACATGCATGTGGAACATTTATAA